TAACCCCCCATGTTGCATCTCCTCTCCCTCCTATCAGGGAGATCATATGATAGTTGTCTTTCTCCGATTGACTTATTTTGCTAAGCATGATACCCTCTAGTTCCATCCACGTCGTCGCAAATGGCAAGATTTCATTTCTTTTGATGGCTGCATAGTATTCCATTGTGTATATATACCACATCTTCTTTATCCATAGAATGGATGTTTTTGATAAGTGTTCTTTGGGCTTTATCTTGATTCTGTTCAATGTTAAAGTCCAAAATGAGGAGGAATAATGAACGCATTAAAGTTACAAAACATGCAAAGATCTAGACACTTCAAAAGTGGTTAGTGCAAATAAGATAAAGTTTGAGATACATGCAGCATTTTGATACCAAACTTGGAAAAAAAATAAAAAGTATGTGTCCAGTATTTGGGAGCCAATTTCCAATATAGACAAACTTCTATATCTTTGTGCTTAACACAGCATTTTATCACATCACAGCCCTGTGCTGGTTGGGCAGCTTTTTTCCATCCTGTAGTTGTGCCACCTGGCCTTGGCATCTTCTTAGGTTACCACAGCAAAAGGGATGCCTGGAAAAGCCTCACTAGTTCTCTATTACCTTGCTCTTTCCTTTCCTTTTGCTGTGGTAGGCCAGAAGAAATGCCTTCTGGGGTCTGGGAAGTATCAAGGAGCACCAGATTATTTGGGGAGCATCAGTCTCAGCCACTTTACCAACAGTAAACTCTTGTTTCAGGCTTCAGAAAGAATGGAACATAATTGCCCAGAAGTCCATTTGAGAAATGTTCCAGTGGTGTGCCTATCTCCCAAGTGAGCAGTGCAGTATGGCTGCATTACTAGAAGCAGATTGGAAACATCTTGGGAGATGACCCTATTTGTCTTGATTTAGGGTGCCACATTTTTTTTTTAAGATTTTTTAGAGACAGGGAAGGTGGGGAAAGAGCAAGAACCCCAAGCAGACTGTGAATTGAGCACAGAGCCCAATATGGAACTCAGTCTCATGACCCTGAGTTCACAACCTTAGCTGAAACCAAGATCTGGACGTTTAATGACTGAATGACCCAGGTGCCCTGGGTGCCACATTTTAAGAGACTGATACTGACGATGTACTTAGTAACACAGTAAAGATGTGTTAGGATTTATAAATCTATAAATTTTGTCCAGAAGATTAATTCCTCCTTCTAAAACCTACAGTGTCCTGGAAAATTTCAAAGACTTGAAGAAGAGGGTGATGGTTTGCAGATACAAAATAGATTTGTTCTGTGTTGTTTCCAGGGAGAGAACTGAACTGGGTTGATGGAGTTTTAGGAAGATTTCTCTTAGAATAGTGAGTATTTATTCTGTAATTTGATATTTTCCTATATCAAGCATAAACCAGATGACATCTGTGAAGATTATTATAGATTTTTTTTTTTTTTTAATTAGAGTGAGAGGTCACAAGTAGGCAGAGAGGCAGGCAGACAGAGAGGGGGAAGCAGACTCCCCACGGAGCTGGGAGCCCGTTGTGGGGCTCGATCCCAGGACCCTGAGATCATGACCTGAGCCAAAGGCAGAGGCTTAACCCACTGAGCCACCCAGGTGCCCCTGTGAAGATTATTATAAAGAACATTCCTGTTTACCATGAGAAACTGGTCTCGGTAATCTCTGTGGCCTGTTTTCAAATCTGGGTCTTTTATGATGAATGTCAAATGAATATTCCTTTTTCTTTTTAAATAGGATACTGATGAAATTCAAGTTAACTATCCTGGGATGTTTGAATTGATGGAAGATTTACAAGGTAACACCCTTTAAAGAATGTTTAATATCTATTTGAGAGTCATTTTGAGAGCAGACTCAATGGCAGGTACTGGGGCTAAGCACTATGGATACATTGGTGAGGAGAGCACAGACTGTCTTCATGGAGCTTATAAAATAAATGGATGAGGCAGACATCACACAGCTGCCGTAAAGATAAATGTTAAATTAGAATTGTGATGAGTGCTACTAAGTGGAAGTGCATAGTGCTGTGACTGCTTCTAAAAAGAGGGCAGGACTTTCTTGAAGGGTGCATCTGAGGCTGGTAGAGCACATCAGTGACTTTCTCCAACAACAGTTGGCAGCTGAGGTCTAGGCACAAGAAAGCGGGGTAGTTGGGCTAGTGTAGGTTTGGGGTTTATTAAAGGGATAAACCCTAGTGGGAGAGAATCAATGAAGTCATGTCTGAGGAAGTGGTGATTGTGCTCTAAAAAATGATGGTGAGTTAACTAGGTGAAGAGGGGAGGGAAGTGAGTTGCAGGCAGGGAGAATAGCAGGTGCAAAGGCTCTGTGGCAAGAAAGAGCATGGCAGGTACTAAAAGCAGGGCATTTTGACTGGAGTACAGGGAATAAAAAGAGCATTAAATAATGAAATTAGTGAGTAAATGGGGACCTTTTGTCCCTGTTGAGATTGTCTTTATCTTAAAACCCCTTTGAGGCATTTAATGGAATGAGATGGGGGGTGTCATGATTCCAGATTTGCATTTTGGATAAAATGGATTGGCAGATCAACTAGTAGGGGAGACTCATTGCTGTAAAGCTTATTGAGAAATGATGGCAGCTTAGACTAAGGTGGTGGCCATGGAGATTTGAGAGAAGTGAATGGATTCTAGAGATAATTAGGATGTAAATTTGGCTGTCCTTGCTGATGGATTACCTGTGGGTGCATGGAGAGAGCTATTTCAAACATAACTGCTAAGTTTCTGGCTCACATAACCAGACAGATGGTGCCCCTTCACTGACAGAGAAAACAGTAGAAGAAGACCAAGTACAGGCAGGGACACCTCTTGAGTTCACATGTGGGTATTTTGGGTTTGAAGTGCTTGTGAAATGTCTAAGAGGAGATGTCAAGTAGGTGGCTATGTGTGTGGGTGTGCCGTTTTAGAGGAGGTGATTGCCTGGTTAAAATATCATGAGTCATTTGTGAATTGGTGGTATTTGAAGCAATTGCCTGGAACGAGAGCATGAAGTGAGAAGAGAGCATGAAGTGAGAAGAGAACACGGCCAGATTCTGAGCCGTTAGGAACCTAATAGACAGTGACTGTGTAGAAGGGCGTGTCTGGACGTATTACTGAATGATGGCAGAGGCAGAGTAATGGAGATCCATCGGTGGTGGGGAGACTAAAGAATCTTGGAAACCATGGTACTGGTGATTGTTAAAACTGAAGTAACCTAAGGTGGTGGCAGGACTTGGGGTACAGATGGGACCTGAACCGGGTGCCAACCCTCCAGTAATGAGAAGAGGGACTGGGAGCCTGATGTCTGTGTCACAGCATGCAGGAGTGGGAGAAGGTGTTGGCCAAATAGTGTGAGTCTCAGCAGGGCAAGGGTTTTTAACAAGTTAGAGAAAAAAATGGCCTGGAAGAGGCTCAGAGGAACAACAAGGATGCAAATCCTTACCTCCTAATTCTGAAAGAGGTAAGGCACTCTGACATACACATCTGCCAGAGAGGGCGTTGCTGGAGAATTGATTTTCTCCAAGGAGAGCTTCGACTTGCCTAAGAAATTATGAGCTTTGACTTTTTATTAAACAAATGGCGTAGGCAGTTTTGATAAATGAGGGAAGCTGAAGCGATTAAAGGTATGTTTGTTAAAGCCAGAACTGTGCTTACCTAGGGCAACCTTAATCTGGATCCTGAAAAATGATAAGATGATTTAAGCAAGAGATTTGTAAGACTAAATACCTTGCTGTTGTTTACAGATACATAGTTTTTCTTAAATGCTATTGAGTTGCTTCTCTCGGTAGTCCTCTGGTAACTACTTAATGCCTGTATTACAAGTGAGGAATGAATATGAGGCCCAAAAGGAACACTTGCCTGTTAGTGGCAGGATTAGGTGCCAAACTCTTGCCTTCTTGATTCCTGTTCTGGCACTCTCTTATCCAACTCTACTTCTTTTGGCTACCCCTTTATAACAGTCCATTTTACCCATCATCCAGCCTCCTCTGAGTATGGTACTTCTGTTGGCTTTACAAGTAGAAAGATATGTAGCTAAAAACTTACTACTGTAGTCACTCTTTGTTTATTATAATTTAATACAGGGATTAAATTAATAGCATGTGTGCTTCAAGGATTGGATCTATGATCAATCACACATCCCTTCCCGGGCACTGCCCCAAACACTTAGCTTCCCATGATATAATCATGGAGCCCCTTCATCCAAAGGCCAGTGGTGGTGGGCTGATGATGTATCATTCAGACTCTAATGATAAAAGTATTTCCCAAATGCAGCATTTTTTTTTTTATTCTGCTATATAATAAATGCTATGCTCATGATTGATTTCAAGAGAGAAGCAAGAAAGAGACTAGAAATTAGATGCATCAGCTGGAAAAGGTTACTACCCACTGATTTAAAAATACAGAACTTAACTCTGTGCTGGGTGCAGTTCTGTGACATTTTCTGATATCCTAATTTTACAAATGAGCAAATAGAGACATTGAGAAGTTAAGTATCTTGTTCATGGTCACACTGGATCTGGATCTGAAGTCCAATACTGCCTACTTAATTTGTGCGCATTTTTTTTGTTGTTGAAGTTAGCATAGTATAATGCTCTAATCTTACCTGTATAGTTGCTTGTATTTTTAACCACTATCCAGGCAAGGACTAGAACATTTCCAGCCCCTCAGAAGGTTGCTTCATGCCACTATCCAGTTGAGAACCGCTGCTTCCCCCACAGGTTTTTTTTTTTTTTTTTTTTAAACATTTTATTTATTTATTTGAGAGAGAGAGAGACAGTGAGAGAGAGCATGAGCGAGGAGAAGGTCAGAGGGAGAAGCAGACTCCCCGTGGAGCTGGGAGCCTGATGCGGGACTCGATCCCGGGACTCCAGGACCATGACCAGAGCTGAAGGCAGTTGCTTAACCAACTGAGCCACCCAGGCACCCACCCCACAGGTTTTAAATGGTCATTTATTTTGAGGACCCGTTGCCTACCATTTACCTTAAGAGGCTTTGCCAGTGCTTCTCTTTTTTTTTACTGTTAAGCCTTTTATATAAATCATATATTTTAGTCTTTGAGTCTCTTATCCTTAGGAGAATTAAGAAGAATTATATAAAGATAACTTGTAGAAGTGGTATTTAACAAAGTAGATATGAACAGTACATGGTTGATTTTATATTCATTCCCCTACCATTTATTGAACGTCTACCTACCATGTGCCAACTGTGGAGCCAGTGATGAAATTACATAGTTCCTAATCTCAGGGAGCATGTGCTCTATTAGAGACACCAAAATAAAGAGAGAGAGATCGCCATTTAACTGTAAAATGAGATAATTGTGGTTTAAAGTATAGGGAAAAACAGAATCCCTAAATTTGCTTAAGGTGTCAGGGATGCTTTTGTAGAAGAGACAGGACCTAAGCTAAAATGAGTTTGCCAGGAAAGTGAGTCAGTGGGTACAGGTTTGGGACATTGCCTTCCAAGCCAAGGGAATGGTCTGTGAAAAATCATGGAGATGCGAGAGGATACACAACTTCCTTCACTTTCCTAATTAAGAAACTCTACAGTAATTCTCTATTGCTTGAATATGTAGAATGGAGAGATGATGGGAAGTGATGCAGCATAGTCCACCAGAGGCTTCCAGATTTTATCAGGTGAGCCTGGTACTGTGGGGGAAAATTTCATGCAGAAGAGTGACTGTCAGATCACTGTGTTAAAAAACTCATCCTCCAGCATTGTTTATAAGGCATACTCTATGAGAAAGGTAAGACTAGAACTAATATAGTTCATTTCTCATGTTACACATGAGTAAACTGAGGCACAGAGAGAAATTAAGTAACTTGCGCAAGGTGATAATAAGTGATAGAGACAGGATTTAAGTCCAGTGTAGCAGCCTAACTCAGGTTCTGAAATCTCAACCACTCTGCCTTTAAAAGGTCAGAGGCAGCTGAGATGGGAAGAGGAGTAGTCCAGGGATGAATGGAGGAGGGGAGGAGCTTGGGTGACTACTTCCAGGTATGTTGCTTTGCCTACCAGAAGATGGTGTTACCTTCAGATTGGTTTTTGGTATTTTATATTGTTATACTTTTTCTTGATGTTGTAGTGTTTCTCATTTTAGCTGCCATTGTTATTAATTCACAGAAAAAAAGTCCAGAATGTTGACATAATTTTACAAAACAAGTGTGTATCAGCTGATGAATGCATGAAAAGTTTTGGAGGCTTTCACAGTAGTTTTAAGGTAAGTTCAATTTGTTTGTTTTTTAAAGACAATACTCAGTATTGTTCCTCCTAAAGCAGAATGGACTAGATTTTTATACTAGCAGTTGAACTTAACCTTAAAAACACTGTGAGAGTCTGTAACAGTCACTTGCTTCCAGGATTTTTCTGTTATCCCAAAACCCAGAGCTGGTCAGAAATTCCTAAATGTGTTTCCCAGGTTGTCTTCAGTAAAGGTCTACCATGATGCATTATGAAGTGCTGTCATTCCATTTTGAAGATGATAAAACTGAGTTTATAATTAGAGTTAAGTGACGTTGCCCGAGATTACTTAAGGATCAGAACTGGGATTATGATCCCAAAGTCTAGACTTTCTGCACCACACCACACTGCTACCATGTGGAGAAAGGAAGTTTGGTATGGTGGTTTGCTTCTCTTGTGAGGCAAGGGTGTGCTCCTCTAGCAGCAGAGTTACTGACTGTGTTATGCAGTAGTGTTCTTGAATTTCTTTCTCAGAGAGAACACTATGCCTGATCATCTTAATTAGTATATCTAATACCAATTATTTAAAAGGCATTTTAGAATTTCTAGTGTATTAAGCATTCCCCCCCATCCTCGTGTATTAAGTATTTACATTAAATAAATTAAACCTGTTTTCCACTGGTATTGCCTATATCTAATGTGTAGTAAGTCATGACACTGGGAAGGTGAGCGGGAATGAAAGCACCACAGCCGTCATCAACTTAGAGTCTTTCAATCCAGCTTCCAGTTTACCTCTGGTCACTTGATATGGTTGGTACTCACAGTGTAGGAGAATGTTTTTAAATCAGATTATGTAATAGGTCTCTAATGTTAGCCATGGAAGCCTTCAGAGATCATCTGGTCTGGCCACCTAGAAGACCCACAGCAATTGGTCTAAGGTCATAGCTGTGTTGTCGTGACAGTAAGAATACGATCCGCCATTTTCTTCATGACAGTCTAGTTCATATGTCTGTTGTTTCATGAATTGGGGCTGTTGTACTCACAGGATGCTGGACATTGCTTTTAGTATCAGAGAATCATTATTTTAAGGAATAATAGGAACCTTTTGGGATTGGAGAAAAAAAGGTTCACTTATTAGAGCTGATTTGTTGATTGTTTTTAATAAAGCCATTGAAAACTTCTAAAGAACAACTGATATTGGGAAGTTTGTTGGGGCCTTTTTGTGAAAGGAGAAAAACAAAAGAAAGAACTGATTTTTGATGGTATGGTATATAGAGAATGAATGTAAAGGATTTTTACTTTGGAAATTTGTTTCAATTTCTTGGACTAGTTTAAAATGTGGCCTTTCAGTGGAATTTTAAGTATGTGCATAAAAAAATTAAATACACAGCACTCATTGTAGAAAAATATCAATCCTAGCTTTTAGCTATCGACTTGAAGAAAAGAAGTCTAGGGATGCCTCGGTGGCTCAGTGGGTTAAGCATCGGCCTCCAGCTCAGGTCTTGATCCCAGGGTCCTGGAATCGAGTCCCACAGTGGGTTCCTTACTCAGTGGGGAGTCTGCTTTTCCCTCTGTCTGCTGTTCCTATTTGTGTGTGCTCTCTCTCTCTCTGACAAATAAATAATCTTTTTTTTTAAAAAGTCTAAAATTTTATGTATGTATATATGTATGTAGGCTCCAAACTGGACTTGGCTTAAATGTGGGGCTTGAACTCACAATCCTGAGATTAAGACCTGAGCTGAAATTACGGTCAGATACTTAATCAACTGAGCCACCCAGGTGTCCCAGAAGTCTAAATTTTAAAACATTAGGAAAAGTGCCCCTGTAAAGAATGTACATAATTTCTTCCTAATCTGGGAGTAAGAAAATATTGTAAAATCTGAAAACACATTGTAGTTTTGATACTATCTAATGAATTTCAGAGCCCTCTCCCAAGTTTCACAGTCAGACATTTATGGCTTAGAGGGAGTGAGGCATTGTAACAGTGCTCTGTCCTCTGAAGAACATCTAAAAGGGGCATGAAAGGTGGCATCCTTGGAAAGGTACTTGCAACTCCTTGTGACTCACCTGGAGGGTCAGTTGCCTTGCTTTTGCCCACCTGACCACTGTTAGCAAGTAAGGTGTGCTTATGGGACTTGCCTCCTGAAATTTGACTTCTCTGGTCTTAATATCCAGAAACTTCAAGTAGTTTTTGCCTTAGAGTCGCTAAGGAGCCTAGCTAAAACCTATTAGGGAATGGGGATGGGTACACTGTTGCATGTGAGGTTAAAATTGTGCTTTGAGCAGCTCAGCTGTTGGTGGTATTAAAAACTGCCTGTAGTGTATTTTTAGGTATGGGTGAGAGTAACTGTGCTTGGAATAGAAAAGGCCTGCTGCACCGAGACACGATGCTGGCAGCCGCAGCGGTGTACAGAGGTAAGCGAGCGGGCCATCTTTCCCACCCTCGCCTCACTGAGGAACGTGTGCCCTGCCGGGTTTATCCCTTAAAGTTGCCAGTACTTTTTCCTTTCCCGTTGAGGCGTCAGATTTTTTGTCCTTCCTTTCAGAACACAGATCTTGTAGTTCCATATCCTTTTTCCAAACAGCCCTTAACTGTATTTCTGTCAGCTTCTCAGCGTTGAGGATTTTTCATGTAAGGCATTCTCAAAGTCCTCCAAATATCCCAATATCCATTTCTCTTCAGAGACATGACTTTTACTGAACAGATTTTTTTCTTCCTATTTCCATTTTTTTCAGATTGTAACCATTATTTGTCTTTATAGAAATGTACAAAAATGAGGATGGTTCAGTACCTGCCACATATCAGATCTATTACATGATAGGATGGAAATACCACAATTCACAGGTAATATTATTAAGACAAATCATTTCTCTTAGTGAGTTCATGTTTTCACTTACTTTTTATTTACATAGGGTGGGTTTTAAAAAAATATATGATGGTCAAATAAATAAATTTTTAAAAAAATCTAAAAAAAAATATGATGGTATTAAGGGATTTCATGTAGAGCTGCATATCTATTTCTAATATCTTTAATCTTTCATTATTTTCAGGCAAGACCAGCTGAAAGAGGTTCGGCCACTGTGTCATTTGGAGAACTGGGAAAGATAAACAATCTTATGTCACAGGGGAAAAAGTCACAATAAATATTTTATTCAATGTTAATGTAGTCCAGAATTTTCATCAAAGTTGGATGACTTTCACATTTAAACGTATTATATTTTGAAGCAAGAAGCAATCTATCAGCAATGTACTATCAGACTTGTAGTAATTAGAATAACCTAATCCTCATCTACATTTGGTAACCCTTTCAGTTTTGTTTTGTTTTTTTAAAGATCTTATTTATTTATTTGACAGAGAGAGAGAGATCACAAGTAGGCATAGAGACAGACAGAGCGAGGGGGAAGCAGGCTCCCCGCTGAGCAGAGAGCCCAATGTGGGGCTCGATCCCAGAACCCTGGGATCACGACCCGAGCCAAAGGCAGAGGCTTTAACCCACTGAGCCACCCAGGCGCCCAACCCTTTCAGTTTTAATGTGGTTTCTGTTTTCATATGGATACTGTTAATCTGGTGATTCGAATGTCTTGTTTACAGATTCAGCCAAAAGCAGGAAGATATTTCAATGAAAAAATCTACAAATATGTTCACATTTATAAATGCTGATTTGATGGAAAGACATTGCTCACACTGACATTTTGTACCTTTTTCTCCTGATCTTTTGTTATTGCCATGAGAGGGCGATAGCTATGGAGATGAGAGGAAGACAAGTTGATTGAGTATCTAGAGTTATGGATCATTTGGAATAAAAACAGTTTTTATAATGACTAAGTTATTCAAGCTAAATTATTTGTCACACTGTCATCTTTGTTGTGAAGACAGTATAGGGTTATATGTCTCTCCAGAGCTATTACATAGTTTTATACTTCAGGAAAGTGTGGACCTTTATTGAATCTTTCCTCACCATTTTTTTTTAAAGCATCTGAATTCAGTCATTTCTTTTTTGCCTTCATGATCTGGGTAAGACCCTAAGGTTTTATACCCCATGCTACCTTAGGTAAGAAGGGACCATTTTAAAGAATTACAGAAGAAAAATCCTGTGTGAAAGTATCCGCACAGTGATGAAAAATGCTCTTTGTTGTTTGACTTTCCTTTGTCATTTCAGGCCTTTGACACTAGTATTCTAATCCAGGCCCACTGTCCCATTATCATCTAGTGGGGATCACCATCATGTGGAAGCAGTCAGGCTCAGACAACTTAGAATGGAGGGAAGAAGATGGTGATGAGGAAGCAGGGAGGAGGCTGGGAAGAGTGAGTGGCAACTTCCATTGCTCCAAGTTGAGTTAGGGAGTTAGGGAGGAGTGCTGACAGCTTTCTAACTGTGGAACCCTGAGCAGGTGTTTTAAAACTTCATCCTCACTGGTAAATGCCAGGTGAAATAAACCCAGCAGAGAAAGGTCTATGCCAGTTCATATGGAATAAGGCACAAAACTAACCATATTTAAAAAAAAAAAAAAATGGTGAGAACTGAGTCTCATTCACCAGGTGGTGGAGAGCCATTGCTGTCCTTTACAGTTTACCGTTTCACCAGGCACGGGCCCCAGCCCCCTCTTCAGCCTTAGTTAAGTTATTACAGTGTTTATCTCCCCCTGCCTTCCTTCCCTTGACCACACTGGCACCAAGCTATTCCTGGGTAGGGGCACAATCTGCCTTGTCCACAGCATAGTGCTTTGCATATAGTAGATATTCAATTACATTTTGAATTGAATTAAATTATGGGGGAAAGTGTGCCCTTTGAAAAACTTAAGTTACAGTTAAAAACCAAGGTTTTATAGGAGAAAAAGGAATACCTATTCTTACTGTCTTTGGGTAGGAAATATATCAATATTAGAAACTGGGATACTCTTTTTTTTTTTTAACCATATTATGCCTGCTTTTCACCCTTGTCCCAGGCTAATTTATTTTATCAGTGTTCCAAGATTCATTGTTTATGCGCCACACCCAGTGTTCTGTGCAATACGTGCCCTCCACAATACCCACCACCAGGCTCACCCAACCTCACACCTCCCTCCCCTCCAAAACCCTCAGTTTGTTTCTCAGAGTCCACAGTCTCTTGTGCTTCGTCTCCCCCTCCGAATCCCCCCCCATTTTTCCTTTCCTTCTTCTCATGTCCTCCATGTTATTTCTTACGCTCCACAAGTAAGTGAAACCATATAATAATTGACTTTCTCTGCTTGACTTATTTCACTCAGCATAATCTCCTCCAGTCCCAACCATGTTGATACAAAAGTTGGGTTTCATCCTTTCTGATAGAGGTATAGTATAGAAACTGGGATACTCTTTTTAACTCTTATTTTATTTTGTTTTTAACACAGGAAAATAATATTCAGGAAGTAAAGTTTGGTCAAGTTTTTAAGCTTAATTTTCAGAATTTGAAGGGAGAAGAGAAAAATAACAACCCTATTGTTAAAATTGCAAACTGATGACTGAGGAACGGATATACTATGGTGACTATATTTCCTAAAGGACATGTGTTTTGTATGCATTATTTGTTTTTTGAGGAATGCATACAAACTTGTGAAATGCTTATTGCTGAGGACTGGGACTGAGGAACTCAGTGTGTGTGCATCTGTCAGGTTTGAATGTCGGGTGCAGGAGGTGGCCAGAAGCCAGGAAGGAGACTTGTACTTTTCATTTTTTTTTTTTATCTTTCTGTGAAGTTTGAAGTTTCTTACCAAGAATATTACCTGTTTATTTCATGCTGATTATGGATACATGGAATGGTAGGGTAGCCTGGGAAGGAGTCTACCCTGGGCTATTTAAAAAATAAATAAGATCATGGCTTAAAAAAACAAAGGAAAGAAAAACTAGCACAACTAATTGAGGATACTTTTTGTTTAACATGAGTGACAGTAGTAAAATTATTTTTTTAGTTAATATCTGCTTGAAGTATCTATCAAGCTTTAATTGTTTGAAAACCTTAGGCAATTCATTTTTTGAATAGCTGTGTTTTCCAAGTGATTAAGATCTCATTCTTTTTAAGTAACAATACTTTATTTTTAAAAATTGAAGTATAGTTGACACATTACATTAATTTCTCGTGTACAATATAGTGATTTGACAAGTTTGTTATGTTGTACTCACCATAAGTGTAGCTACCATCTATTACCATACAATGCTATCACAATACCATTAATTATGTTCCTTATGCTATACATTTTATCCCCAAGATTTATTCATTCCATAACTGGAAGACTGTATCTCCTAGTCCCCTTTGCCCGTTTTGCCTACCCCCATCCCCCTCCCCTCCCCGTTTTGCCTACCCCCATCCCCCTACCCCCCAGAAAAGTCTGTTTCTGTTTTTGTTTCTTTGTTTTTTTAGATTCAACTTACACGTGAAATCATATAGTATTTGTCTTTCTCTACCTGATTTATTTCACTTAGCTTAATACCCTCAAGGTCCATCAATGTTGTTGCAAATGGCAAGAATTCATTCTT